AAAAGATGATCATTACTTGAGGTTAATATTTTCACTTCAAATTTAATGTTCCAAGGTTTTTTTATTGAGCTTCTTTTACTTTTAATCTTTTAAAACTATTGATATTAGTATTTCATATAATCTGAAACTTTTCTCTCTTGTCCATCTACAGGTGGAATGTCATCCTTATCTCAACCAGAGAAAACTGCTGGATTTCTGCAAGTCAAAAGACATTGTTCTCGTTGCCTACAGTGCTCTGGGGGGCCAACTAATTAATAAAAGGTAATGAGAATGACAGAGAGCTAAACTAAACAGCATCTTGTTGAATATTTTTAATCTCACTGTACTTGGTTTTTTGGAATTAACTCTAAAATGCTAGGGAGAGGGAAGAATTTGCATTCCTGACAAGATCCCGGATGACGCTGATGCTGCTGGTCCAGACCACATTTGAGAAGCTCTGGTCTAGAATGGACACCTTAGTTTGTTTTAGGAGTCTTCTAATAAACCAAATACTCAGCCTCAAATTCAGCATTTCTTCCTTTCCTTCCAGGGCTGACCAGAGCATCCCAGTTCTCTTGGATGATCCAGTTCTTTGTGCCATGGCAGAAAAGCACCAGCGGACTCCCGCCCTGGTTGCCCTTCGCTACCAGCTGCAGCGTGGGCTGGTGGTCCTGGCCCAGAGTTTCAATGAGAAGCACATCAGGGAGAACTTGCAGGTGATGAGCGGGGCTGTGGGCATCGGGCTCCTACACAGCCCCCTGCATGCACGTGCTTCTTTGTAAGGCTCTCAAGACTTCTTTATCCAAGTCGATTTCCCTGGAATTTCCTATGCCTGTGTGCTTTGTGAGCATTAATAAGTTTTGTCCTACTCACCACAGGAGAGGCAGCCTGGCTGGATAGTACTAAAATCAGACAGAAAACAAATATTTGGGTTTCAGCATTAAGTTGACTATTTACTCTGTAGCTCTACGCAAGTGACATATCATTTTCTGAAATGAGCGAGTTGGATTAGGTGATCTTCAGTACACAAATTATTATGTTTTATTGTGCTTTTCCCTGAATATTCATGTAGTTTAATTTTCATGTGTTTATTGACTTTGAGATTTTTTTAAGTCCCTCTTCAAGTCTTTACTTATTTTAATAGATCGTCTGTTCTTTTCATGTTCCATTATTATACCATTATTATACCATTGGCTAGAGTTGTAAAAGAATACACCCTTATGACAGAAGTTAATATAAAAACCATTCATTTAGCTCATGATGCTATGGTGTAAAATTAGCCTGGGCATAGCCTGAACTCGAGTTTTCTGACCTTGGCTGGGCTCCTTCAAGTGTTTGCAGCGAGTGCAGGACAAGGAGTCAGCTCTGCTTCAGGATGTCATCTGTGCTGGTGTCAGGGAATCCTCAGCTCTTCTCCGTATGGTTTTCATCCTCCAGCCAAGTGGCCCAGGCCTCTTCTAAGTACATCCACAATCCCTAAGCAGTGAGTTGATACTTGCAAAGCTTTTCACATCTATGCTCAGATCTGGCACATCAGTGCTGCTGGCAAACTTGACCAATGCAAGTTACACAGTGGGACAGACTCAAGGGATGGGAAATAGACACCACCAGTGCAATGGAGTGAAAATTCATGTAACAGAGATGGTGGAGATGGAGATGTGAAGTACTGGAGACATTTTTATAATCAGTCTACCACATTTATGTATTCTGGATATTAATTATTTTTCACATTCAAGTTTATTCATTGAAATATTTTCTCCAAAACTGTACTTGTGTTTTTAGTCTCTTTGTGTATATTTTTTATAAAGAATAGTTTGTACTCTTAATGTAATAGAATACATCATGCGTTTCCTTTGTGGGTAATTTGTGCTGTATCTT